GAAATACCGACCATCAAAACTGAAAAAAAAGAAGAGAAAAGGTTCAAATCACCTTACCTAAGCATTCCCGGAGAAACTTTTGTCTCCATCGGTAAATATTTTGATCTCTCCTTTGTTTGATGTTGTTATTGTAAAGAGCTTCTTCCATTTTGTTTCTTTTTGTTTTGATTCATTCAGGATTGTTGAGATTGATAACCGAGAGAGAAGGTTGTTTACTCTGGGATGGGATTTGGGATAGCTAGTTAAGAGCATAACGAAGTGGAAGGAGATGAAGCTTCGTCGTTATTGAGGAAAGACGATTGGAAGGAGAAGTGGTGTAGAAACAGAGAGAAGATTCGCGAGAGAGAAGAGGGATGAATGGGAATTAGGGTTTCTACAACCCCCTTTCCTTGTAATCAGATAAATGGACTCGGGTCTGGCCCGACCTGGACCAAGTCCAACTCCTTTTGTTATTAAAAAACCATCATTTTTTTTACAATCTATTTTGTTCTTTGGGCTTTGCTGTTTCAAAACTTTCTAAGCCCAATCTGTTTTTTGTCTAACACCCTAACATACTGCTTTACACCTTTGCTTAAATTATGTTCTTAATTATTTATTCATTTTATTTCTCATCAACTATTATAGTAAAATTAATTAGATAACTATGTTTTGTTAACTAGAAAATTTTAGCTTAAATAATTATTTAATAACTCTATTAATTGAGATTTAGTTTTAAATTAAAAAAAAATCAATCAAATTAAATAAAAGAAACATAATTTCAAAATTAGTTAATTTTCATAATTAAGTTTAATTTAAGATTTTGTAAATAAATTTATTAATTATTTTGTGTTTAAGTTTTAATTTATTTAATTTCTAAATAACAAAACCCTAAAAATACATGCATTTGATTTAATTCTTTAGCTAATTAATAGAATAGATTTTTTCCTATTTTTTTCTTTTTAAAACTCTTTTTCAAACAAAAAATACCAAGAGTTTCTATACTTCATCAATTAATTTATTTCATATACTGTCATAACTTTAGTTATTTGCTTGATTCGATTTGGTTGTATTGTTTACCTATTGGGACATCTAATTGTACTAATTCATCCCCATTTGTAAATTTGTACCCACATTCCCGAAAATTCTGTAATAGCGTAGAATTTGAATTTCCGCAATTTACTGTTTTTTTTATATACTGTATAGTAATTAGGCGTGCACGGAAAGACATAAAAATCAATCGCTAGATAACCTAATTTCAACAAAATTAACTTGAAACAAAAACACTTTTCACACGCGCATCTCTAAGGTAGCCTCGCTCGTTGCCTCGAAAACACAGTCATGTCCCTCGAATATGGGACGCTTTAGCAATGATCCTTCAATAAAAAGATCGTAGTCCCTCGATGACCCTCGACGTTGCCTTCGATAAAACGATCTTGTCCCTTATGAAAATTGCTAAAAGCGTCTCATAAGTTGCTTTCGGTGACTGTAAAATTGACCCGCGCCTATCCCTTTACATTCAAAAATGGGGCTTCTTACCAAATTAATGGTAAGAAAGCAACATTAAAAGGAAAGAAAAAAAAGAACAATTGAAAACCTTTCGAGTAGATAGATTCGTTCCTAGTTACTCGTTTGCTCACGACAAAAAAAAAACAATTTTTACACTTACATCTCAAAACATTTTCAAAAAGACAAAATGTTTTGTATACGTTCTTATAGAGACGAGAACCATTGCAAAACATATTTTTCAAAACCACTTTCAGAAACACGTTCCACAAACATATCTTTGAACCAATTTTCGAAATAAAAACTTTGTACGCGTTCTTATAGAAACGAGAACCATTACAAAGAGATTTTTCAAAACACTTTCAAAGCCCACACCACAAGCACACTGTCAAACAAAAGCAAGTGATCTAATCGAGTAACTAAGAGCCCATGGAAACCATGGATGAAAAGGGTGCTAATACCTTCCCTTTTCATAATCTACCCCCCGAACCCAAAAAATAATCTCGAAAGGTCTTTCCTGTGCTTTTTTACCTTTCCTTTTGGATAAAAGAAAAGTCGGTGGAGACTCATGCTATCCGCACAAATACGATCGAAATGCAAAAAACCAAGTCAGTTCTCCCACCGTACCATAATAACATATCATAATGATAGAAAAATATCAGATAAGATGATAAAACATCACACCTAAAAATGATATCGAAAATCAAAGTAGGATAAAAAACATATGCGACGATGAAGCATCGACAAAAAGATAATAAAATATCATGGCAAAGATGGCAATACATCAAAACTTAGATGATAAAACACCACACCTAACAATGATATTGAAAATCAAAGTAGGATAAAAACATACACGATGGAAAAACATCGGCAAAAAGATTAAAAAAATATCATGGCAAGGATGAAAATACCTCAAAACTTAGATGATAAAACATCACACCTAACAATGATATTGAGAATCAAAGTAGGATAACAAGCATGTGCGATGGAGAAACATCAGCGAAAAGATAACAAAACATCATGACAAGAATCGAAAAACATTACGATTTGGATGATAAAACATCACACCTAACAATGATATTGAGAATCAAAGTAGGATAACAAACATGTGTGATAGCGAAACATCGACATAAAGATAGAAAAATATCATGGCAAGGATGGAAAAACATTACGATTTAGATGATAAAACATCACACCTAACAATGATATTGAGAATCAAAGTAGGACAACAAACATGTGCGATGGCGAAACATCGACATAAAGATTGCAAAATATCATGGCAAGGATGGAAAAACATCAATTTGACAAGGTTTAAAACAAATCCAAAAGGAGCACAAAAAATTAAGATTGGTTTGGATTTTTTACCTTGAAGAAGGATTTAAGTTCATTAGAGATGTTTTATGATTTTCCAAGAAAAAGAAAGTTTTTGTTTTAAGATGCAATATGCAAAGAAAAGAAAACAACTAAGGGAGACTATCCTAATATCTAGCACTAGTGTAATCATACAATGATGGCCCTATGGTTGAGTTTTGAAAGAGAAGTATCTACCTAAGTGAGAATACATGGAAAAATATCCTAATATCTACCTCGAGGACTAACCCTACATGAGCAAGCCTAAGGGAGCATGGAAAATACCAAACTAGTGAGCAAACAGGTGCTTTGGCAAAAGCACACAATCGGGGTATACTGACTCAAGGGATGGGGGTATAAAGAGAAAATGCTTTAGCTAAGGGGAGCAGATCACCCGAAGCAAACAAGCGGGAGACAGATGAAATAAGAAAAATGTGACGTCCATAGCAACTGAGCACCTAACCAAGATATAGAAGATCGAGGTAGACCACAAAAGATAATATGAACGATCACAGTGTCAGCATTGTTGCACCCCAAAATTTTCCCTCCTAATTTCTTTTATTTTGGCTTAGACTTTTGCATTCATCTGCATCTATTCCATTAGGTCACTAACATGGCATACATTTCATTCAATATAGCTCTGCGGTTCAAAGTTTAGTGGTTGTGCGATGTTAGGATTTCACTAAGGTTAAGGCGTTCGTATCCAATAAAGGTTGTTTTTATTTCTTCTCAAGTCGTGGAGTATGGAATTAGGGTTTTGACCCATGGTTGTTATGGATTTCTTCTTTATCAAGAAACAAGGTTACTCTCTTCATCTGAAAATCAAGTTGCAAGGTTTTATTTGTTAAGTCTGAAGATTTGGGTTTATTTCCCTATGTCTATTGGAAGATCATGATTTGTTTCATTTCGAAGACATGTTGAACATTATTCTATCCATGTCTCAAGTCCTCACTGTGCACCTAATGCAAGTGGGTTAAGGTTTTGCATCTTGTGTGTGAGTTTGTTGATGTTCGTTAATGAGAGATGATTAGAGGATGTCTTTCTATGCTTCAAATTTTATCTTCTTCAAGGATTCCACAAAGACATTTTTTGACAAGACAAAGGACTCGTGGGATTGAATTGAAAAGTATGAGGTCATGGCATAAGAAATGGTACCATAGATTAATGTTGATCAAGGCCATTTTTTTTCTCATCATCGTTAGTTTTTGCTCACAATACAAGTCAATATGGATTAGTAGTTTTAAGGATATCTTGGTTATACTTCTTCCATATTCCCATCACCGTTATCAGTTCCTCAAGACATTACATTTGTGTGAGAATGAGCTTCAGTTTTGTTCAATACTTTGATTCAAGCAAAATTGGAAGATTCCAGTGATATTTCGTGGATGAAAACCAAGTTAACTTTTGTAGACCAAATTATTCCATATTTCGTGATTTAGAGGTTATTTGGAAATGATTGGATATACTTGACATCTAAAGATATTTTAAAACATGAGAAAGCATATGTGGAATCAAAGGTTCAAACGAAAAGCAGGTTTCATTACTATCATTGTATATTTGTTCAAAGTTACCGCACTCTATTAAGAAATAAGTCATGGCTTCATCATTCATTACCCAAACTGTTTCATTCAAGATCAAAGGTTTTCAAACATTAAAGGTTCATTCATGTTCTAAACTTCATTAGTGATTCATTCAAAAATAACACAAGTGCAAAATGCCAACCATGTTACCAAGTTGATTAAACTCATTACATCATTGAAAAGCCACAAAAGTTTCCTAAAAAAAATACTCCATGCTAAACTTCAAATTCCTAATCTATATCCATAAGCATACAAGAAAAGTACAAAGAATAGCACATGACGAGCCTATTGGTCTAATTCTAAATTCCATCATGATTTTTTTATTTCAAATAATTTCCATGACTTTGTTTTGAGCTTTTCTTTCTCCCTATCCCAAGTCTTGCGCCAAGCTTCCTATGTATCGTACAACCTGAACCTGATTTGTAAAACTTCTAAGCAAAAAGAGACATATCAGAATTTTTAAAGATGTTAATAGAAATATTAAACCTCGTCGGATGAAACTACTCTCAAGTTCTCCAGGTTCAGGAAAGACCACTCCTTTTAGCCTTATAAGGAAAGCTTTATCTGAGTCTTCAGCTAGCTGGGAGTATGACTTACTATGGACATGGATTGAATGAGTTTGTACCGCCAAGAACAACTTCTTATATCAACCAGCATGACATTCATATTGGAGAAATGACTGTAAGAGAAACCTTGGCTTTCTCAGAAAGGTGCCAAGGAGTTGGATCACGTTATCACATGCTTTCTGAGCTATCTAGAAGAGGAAAACCAAAACAGAACTCCAAACAGTTTTTAACAAACCAAAAACCATAAACAGATATAACTAACTTCAATAACTGATTCCTAACAGAATTTCAGACTTAAACAAACTTCTAACAGAAGGGGGCAATAGAAGAAAAGGGTTAGGATAACAAAAGTTAACAGATCACAACAGAATAACATAAAAACGAACCTGTATAATCATCAGACGGCTTCTTCTTCAAGTTTCGGGGGGGGGGGGGACCAGGATTCTTTTCTCTTCACTCTCTTTGAGTTCTCGGCTTATCTTCACCTTCATTCTTCAACAATCGGTGCAGAATTACAAAACCTCTACTTCTTCTCTCTTCTTTCTCTCCATAACGATTGTGTATCTTCAATCTTCTGTGATTGGTTACCTTCACACATCTTCATCAGTCACTGCATCATCTTCATCACCATACACCTCCAACCTTCTACTTCTGAATCAACGTTAAAACAACAGCTCCACACCGTGGAACCTTCATTCATCGTCATCTTCATTATTTCTCAACCGCAACGCTTCTCTGCAAATCGTACTTCTTGATCACCTTCCATCAACATTGACAACATAACATCGATATGCATCATCTCCTTCATAACGCATCTTCATCATCAATTTTCATTTTTCAATAACAAATTTGAAATAGAGAAATGTAGAATAAGCAAATAAAGGTAGAATCTTACTTGAATCGGAGATGCGTCGGACGTTCACTGATCAGTTTTGCTCTCTTTTTCATTCAGTTTTCCTGAGAAGGCGAAGAACCAGGAAGTCACAACATCACAACGGCGGGAAGCTAAGTCGAAGAAGCAAACAGATCAAAGAAGATTATAAAAGCGAAGTCGAGGTGCTGGAATGGAGTGGAACGATGGGGCCTCTTCGGGAATCCAGAGGAGAAAGTTTGGCCGCCGCGTGAGGGAGGAGGGAAGAAGAACTCATTCTCGTGGAAGTTGTGTCGTCAATCTCTAAACCCTATTCTTTTGGCCAATACGTTGGCGTTTTGTAAATATACAATTTTATGTCACATATATTGTTAATCATAGTAGCAATTCATTAATTAATGGCTGAATAAATGTGATTAAGTGTTGGTGGTTATTATTGTTGGATCAAGGGATCATGGACCAAAATTGTACCCCTTAGGCCCATGTCACGCCATTTTTGGTACCTAAAGTTGATTGCAACAAAAAATGGCATGTGGACTTCACTATTGGGATTTTGAGCCATTGTTTCTAAGCCACCATCACATTCAGATTGTACCACCTGTTTTCAGACTCACACCCCCCTGTGTAGCTTTTTTTTTCTTTAGCTTTTTCTTTTCATAATTGTTAATTGACAATTTCGTTAATAAAAAAATGTTATATTTTAGGAGACATTTTTATGAATTAAATCAGGATTAACCGATTATTTGAGATTGGTAATTCACTTTTTCTTGTTGAGATTTGAGTCTAATGCAGGTTTATCGCACGATATGTGGATGCACTTGAGATTCCGATTGTGATTTATTTTCACATCGATGATGCTTTGGCACTTATTCCGAGCGTTTGATTCCTGACTCTTTTCTTTGATAGGCTTTGCTACGGATTAATATTCATTCGGTATATTCCCTTGTTTACCTCATTTCAGTACTTTACTATTTTTTAGATATCGTGAGAAGTAGGAAATAAATAGCGTGTGCTCGAAGTCGCTGTTTAAAGACCTGTAGCAGGCATTCCGCACTTCATTTGCCATATGTGTTGTGCTTGTGTTTGTCTACATTTCTTGCCGATCGATGAGTCACTCGATTTAGAAATTGAGATCATGACTTCGCTCTCATCGCATGTTCCCTATAAGATAGTTTTGTTAGACTTTCTTCGACATGTTAACCTAGGCAGAATCTCTTTAGGTGCTCTCTTGAGCTTACTGGCTTGCTTACTTTATCCTTGCACATACCATGTTCCCTTAGGATGCGCTTGCTCCGTTCGGACGCAAGATAGACCTTAGATTACAAACCATGCATGCTAACATTAGGTATAAACTTCCCCTTTCATCCTTGACGTAGGGCTACCATTGTATGATAACATTAGGGATAGATTTATACTAGTCTCCCTTAGATGTTTTTCTTTCTTTTGTATCCATGCATTAAAACAAAAACTTCCTTTTTCTTTGAAAAATATTAAAACATCTAACAACTTCCAAAACCTTCTTCAAGGTAAAAGATATCAACCAAGGCAAACTCTTTTGCACCTTCGGGCTTTTCTTTCAAATTCTTTTCAGAAAGAACACGTTAATTCACTTCTGTGTTGATACGTAAGTCTCCAAAGGTCGAGTTGTGGAAGAAGGCAAAGTTAATATTGTTCATTAAAAAATACAAACCAACAAAAACATGTGAGCCGAACTACGGCTGCTCTGATTCCTTACAAGGGATATGTAGGCATTGGGGTAGGGCCCGAGCAAGCACAATTTTATTTTCCCTATATTCTTTTCCCCTTTATTTTGCATGCATTCTCCCTTCAGTAGTATAGTAAACAATAAGCATAGATTAAACACACCCATAAGATAGACAACAAGAGTGGATACCGTAGAGTACTACAGACGTGTAGGGTGCTAATACCTTCCCCTCGCGTAACAGACTCCCTTACCCGATCTCTCGGTCGCAAGACCGTGACTTCTCCCTTCTCGGGTTTTCTCGATGTTTACCTGTCCCCACATGTAGGATAAAAGACGTTCGATGGCGACTTCATTGTTTTGATGATTTTCAGCCGGTTGTTTCAGCTGGCGACTTCACTGGGGATAGATTGACCTATTACTGGTCCATCCTAGAGTCGATCCTAGCTCTTGTTTTCTTTTCCTTGGGTGTTTATTTTTATGCTTTATAGCTTGTTCATTTTGTACATGTTTATTCGTGCATGTGTTTGCATTGCATTTTATTGCTTTCGATATTGGTGATACTGCTATGTTGGCTCTGTTTTTGTGATTGGATGGGTGTTACTATGAGGTAAAAGGCCCAATACCCAGGCTAGAGTGAACTAGGATACTAGGAATAGAGTGGAACATGAACGGCTAGTTGACTTAGGTCTCACTATTACCGTCATGTCGTCCACGCTCAGATGAGGTACAAATGAGGGGCTATCATTTTCACGTAGGTGATATGGCGATAGTTTTTCAAGAGTACCCTCGATTCTGGGTTACCCGACCTTACCCTGACCTAGTTTTCATCCGTGAGAGGGGAGGGACTTGATTATTACAGGTACAGATGATGACTATGTTTCTGATAATGATTGTTGTTTTGTTGGTGACTATATGGGTCTCAGATTTATTTTCTGAGTTTCTGGATTCGGTATTCAGGATGTTTCTTTGGTTATGTTCTAAACCTTTGATCCTTATATATTCATCTTGTCCATAGATTATACAACCTATATTCATGGTACTTGGTTCCGTTGTGTTCTGAAATTGGTACCGAACCTTTGACCCTGTGATATTCAGATTATTCAGCAGATTTATACGTCAGTTACCCAGAGGATTGTACAATTGTTATGCTGAACTTTTGAACCTATGTCATTGCACCTTGCATCATAGCATGTTTATTTTACACACAAAAAAAGTGAAAGATTGTATGTATAAAAAAGATGTTTGAACATAGCATTGCATCCACTCATTCACCTCGTGTATCTTCGTGCATCTTCATGCATCAATAGCAGGTACTCAGAAGGTACTCAGAATGGGGAATCCTTATTCAGACTCAGTATTTTCTTTTCAGAACTGCCAATCTTGACTTCTCGCTACTTCGTGATCAGATTCAAGTTATGAAACAACTTTGTGGGGAATTGGATGAGATGAAAAGAATCATATGGGGCTGTTTATTGGGGATATGCAAGCAATGGCCTGTAGTCAGAAATCCTCAAGGGGAAAAATATCCAGTTGAAGACTTAGTTGAGTCAGGTATGGAAGTTTTGAAGACAGTGTCAGCAAAGAAAAGTGATCTTATATAGGTTGTTGCAACAGGAGCTGTCATTCATCCCTAGCCTATGGGACATTTTTTCAAATCATGAGATACTCTGTGGGTCTCACTCAGAGCTTCGTGTTCTCGGATTTTCTTGCTAGCAGCTAGTTTCTGGTCTCCAAGTGAACCCATGGGGAAAAAATTACTAGCAGAGACAGAAAAAGCTTGAGAAGCAGGTTGATACAATCTTAATGCCTTGTATCCAGTTACTTCCTCGTGTGTTGGAAGCTCAGTTGATTAAGCTTCATGCTTTGGGTCATCCTCCAACAAATTTCTCCCCTAATTTCGATGGAAATGCTAGATGTGTCTCCCATTCTGGGGCACTTAGTTAGAATATTAAATACTGCAAGGGGTTGAAGCATGAAGTTTGGTACTTGTTTGGCTTCTTTTCCAAGGTTCAGTCCATGTTTGGAAAACTATTTCAGACTCTTTTTCCTCAGCTGGATGCTTCTTATGTGTAAGTATAAGATGGGGTGATGCTTCTGTGATGAAGAAGTATAATATATCGAGTTCTTGGATATTTGCTGTTGTGTAGAAGAAAAATACCTCAAAGGTCGAATTCTATATTCAGAGTTTAGTTTCTTCTATGTAGTAGAAGATTCTTTGTTACAGTTTCTGAATTTTGCTTTTGTGTAGTAGAAGACGAAGACTCTTTTGTGAAATAAGGAGATTCTTCGTAATTCGGTTGCTAAAACTTCTCTCTTGTGAAGTAAGAGATGAAGTTTACTTTCTTCTGTGTAGTAGAAGACGAAGACTCTTTTGTGAAGTAGGAGATTCTTCGTAATTCGGTTTCTAAAACTTCTCTCTTGTGAAGTAAGAGATGAAGTTTACTTTCTTCTGTGTAGTAGAAGACGAAGACTCTTTTGTGAAGTAGGAGATTCTCCGTAATTCGATTGCTAAAACTTCTCTCTTGTGAAGTAAGAGATGAAGTTTACTTTCTTCTGTGTAGTAGAAGATGAAGACTCTTTTGTGAAGTAGGAGATTCTCCGTAATTCGGTTGCTAAAACTTCTCTCTCGTGAAGTAGGAGATA